ACCAAAAAAAAAAAAAAAAAAGGGATATACTTAATACTCTGAACTGTGTACATACTTAAAAACAGGATGGGGCTTGGGATGTAGCTCAACAGTAAAATGTTTGCCCAGCACATCCATGACAGTAGATTTGTCCACAGCAATGGGAGAAAAAGAATAGGAAACTTTAAATTATGTGATTTTTTTATACTACACTTTCAAATGTTTAAAATAATTTAACATTTTAAAAGATTGTTTAATGATGTTTCTGTTAGGTTAAGGAAACACAGATGGTACAGCAACGTGTTATGATGCAGGAATGCTGGTACATCTGCCAGGTGGGTTATAGGACAGCAGCCAATCAGCAGCAAGGAGAATTGAATAGCACTCTTGGATTGGCTACTTGCAGACCTCCCGCCAAAAAAAAATCTGCAGAAGATATTTTCAGTTTCAGGGAAATTGCGGGGGTTTCTGAGAACAATTATTAGTTAGGTTCTAAGGAAAAATACACTGAACGACTGAGGACAACTTCGCGGGGGTGTATTGTGTCCAATTCAGATACTTGGCTACCATTTCTAAAACCGTCGTATCAGACGATGTCATCTTTTGTATTATACCCTATGTTTATTATTATGGTTTGCTTCTTTGAGCAGATTTCTTTATAATTTTATCACACTTGTTTCAAGGATTCTAAAATATATGAATTTGGTATTTAATTACTTAATTGTACGGTGTCAGATACAGCATTATTTTAACTAAACTGAAAAATACTTCTGAGCTACAAGAAAAGATAAAAGCCTTGATCAACAGAATCTTACACCCACTGGGTTTAGAAACTTAAGAATAGAAGAATTAAGCTTTTTTATAATTTTAAAATGTATATCTTAAATATGCTTAATTTCATAATAGTATAGATGTAAGATGAAAGACAACCTCTGTCACAACTTAGTATTTGCTAGGACTGTGGATTTCAGAGGACTCACCACTATTTTAACATTTCCTTTTGATATGGTGATCTCAGTGGTATGTCTACCTGCGCTGAAGAAAGAGGCTGTAACACTTATTCCTGTGCTATCACAACATTAATCAGCACAGTATTGTTTCTAACTGTACAGCCAGCTAATACAAAAGGGAAGGTTTGCTAAGTAGGTATACTTATCTAGACCAGAAAACCGAAAGAATTTGGGAGATAGAAGGTATCATCATAATGTAACTTTCACTTCAAACTAAGAACATAGGATCTGAGAAATAAATGTTAGTATTTACAAAGATGTATGTATAAATGTGGGTGTGTTGTGTTTATGTATGTGTACTTGTGTACAGTTTTAGTAACTAGGTATATAATCTCTACCTAACAAAATGGGCTTAGAAGAAGCACTTGGAATTTGGGTTAAAAAGAGAAACTTTCTTAGAAATGAGGATTATTTGATACTGAATGGTATTTAAAGAACACATATAATTTATAAGGAGAAAATTGAATTACCCTACAAGTCTCTCATTCTTAGAGTTCTTGGATTTTTGATTATCTAAATTTTAATACCATTTAAAGAAGAAAAGATCAAATAGGCAAAAAAGTTAATTTCTTCTTTGCCTTTTTTATTAATTGGTTTTTTTCATTCAATAAATCTTTATTGCATGACTAATTAATCAAATGTGAAGTCAGATCATTGGTTTGAAGACATGAGCCGAGCATAGTTCTTGGCCTCGAAGGGTCGTCCAAGATTTATCATTGAGGCTGCAGGACAAAGTAAATCTTACGTAGAGACATTTGTGCAATAATTAAGGCATAATAATTGGAAGTGGTAGTTATTTGTATCTTCCTCTCTCAGGTCAAACACTCTTCAAAGTGGTAGTCCAGTCTCTTTCCCCTAAAGAGGTAGTCCGGATTCATGTCCCTAAACCTTTGGACAGGAATGATGGGACATTTTTGGTACGATACAGACTGTATGACACGGTCCACAAAGGGCTGAAGATAGAGATCCTTTATGGTGATGAACATGTGGCACAGTCTCCCTATATTCTGACAGGTAAGTGATTATTAATAATCCAGAGTTGGTCTTACATGGAGGTCTCATGCCTTTCAGAATGGGTTATCTTGACCCTGAAGTCACGTTCAACAGAGTGAACATTGTATACAACTCTCTGGCGTTCAATCTAATTAAAATTTTAAACACACATGATGCTCTGTGTTTTGCTTTCCCTAGGACCAGTGTACCATGAATACTGTGAGTGTCCAGAAGAGGATCCTCAGGCCTGGCAGAAAACTCTCTCTTGTCCTACCAATGAGCCACAGATTGAAGAAGATTTTGCTTCCTTCCCCAGCATCAATCTCCAGCAGATGCTAAATGAAGTTCCCAAAAGATTTGGAGATGAGAGGGGTGCCGTTGTTCATTACACAGTTCTCAATAACCACATTTATCGGAGATCTTTAGGGAAATACACAGACTTCAAAATGTTCTCTGATGAGATTTTGCTGTCACTGGCAAGAAAGGTATGAAAATGAATAGATTGGTTTCCAAAATACTATAATTTAATCATTTTGTTTTAATGTTCAAGTGGTTAGAATTATAAAGACAAGGACGAAAATAGATTTCAGGCTTCAGTGTGTGCCACCTGAGTGTTCTAAATCCTCTACCTTTCTCCTTCCTGTAAGATTTAAACAAAAGGGCTTGAGCCCCATTCCAGGTGAGTAGGCCAGATGGGGCATGGCCACAGTTTCTGAGAACTCCCAGCTGTTTACAGCCTCTAGGTGACATCCCTAAGTTCTCTGTTCCACAGGACTCCTTCACCCTATGGAGCTGTTCTTTACTTCAAAATGACTTGAATTTGGAACGTATTTTCCTGGTTTTACCACAGGCATCATTAGAAGAGAGTGTGTATGCACAGTTTGTTGAAGGCTGAAGTAATACAGATTATTTGTACCAGTGCATACTAAGAAACAAACAAAAACCTAACACTTAAAAGTAGACCTCCCTATACCGAGACTCCTCACTCATCCTGTGTCCGGGAATTTCTGACTGGTGGTCCCTGATCTTCAGATCTTGGCCTCTTTTAAATGTAACTCACCAACAGCCCTCTGTTTTCCTGTTATTCAGCCCCTCTTGCCACAATTGCAGATCTCTGAATTTCTCTTAAACCATCTTTTGTTCTTTCTTGTTCTCTTGTTCCTTTTGTTCTTTTCTTGTTCTTGTAAGGCGAGAAGTAGAGGTAGGCGGTTTTTATCATTCTCACCTAAAGAGATCATCAAGGTAGTTTTCTAAACCAAAAACCAACTACCCTGGGCCTGGGATTTAGCTCAGTGGCATCGTGCCTGCCTCACAAGCCCAAGGTCTTGAGTTCAATCCCTGGTACCAAAAAGATGCAAAAACCAACTGTCCTGATGCACAGCTTCTCATGTATGCTGGTTTAGCTGCCATCACTTTTTATTTTCAATAACAGTCACTTTTCCCTTACCCTAGCCAACCATGGGAGCATATGAGCACATTGTGAGTGTTTGATCCAAAATGTGCTCTCTTCCTGGCTACACCAGGAATCATGCCTCTGTCCCTGTATCTTGTACTTGTGCTACTATCTCTGTAGCTCTATAGCAATAATTTTGTTCTCTCTCTCCCTCCCTCTCTCCTCCTTCCATGATGATTCTGGGGATTGAACCCAGGACCTATACACTGAGCTATTTCTCCAGACCTTTTTTATTTTTAATTTGATCCTGCTAAGTCACTAAATTGTGTAGGCTGGGTTTAAACTTGTGATTCTCCTGCATCAACCCCCTGAGTGCTGGAATTACAGGCATGCACCGATATACCCTGCTGCTTCTTATTGTTTTTAAATGGTCAACTCTATCAGAAATATTTAGAAAGCCCAAGAACTGTAATACTTAGTACCAAAAACTGTGGTCCTCCCAGCACTAATGTTTGGACTTGTGTTTACTTAGGTTCGTCTTCCAGATTTAGAGTTTTATATTAACCTTGGAGATTGGCCCTTGGAGCATCGAAAAGTCAATGAAACCCCTGGCCCTATACCTATCATTTCCTGGTGTGGCTCTCTGGATTCAAGAGATGTTATCGTCCCAACATATGACATCACCCACTCTACACTTGAAGCAATGAGGGGCGTTACAAATGATCTCCTCTCTATTCAGGGAAATACAGGTAAATTAAGGTTACTCTCCAAGAACAAATGTAAAAGTTAAAAAAAGTGAAAAGAATGTTCAGTCAGAGAATAAATATTTAAATAGCTATTCTTACTTTCTAACCAAGAAAAAAAAAAGCACACTTGGGACTGGGGATGTAGGTCAATATTAAATTGCTTACCAGGAAAAAAAAAAATTAATTGTCAAAGTGGTTTGTTTAGGATTCTCCCAATTCAGAAAGGAAAGACACATTGATTAGGCTAACAGTACCCAAACCTACCTTTACTAAGTCTCCTTTGAGTTGATCACTTGTTGATCAATACCTTTTGAAAATAATGTATTTAGTAAAGTTGTCAGTAAATTCTTTTTTTTTCTTTTTGTTGAGTTTATTGGTACATTTTAGGTATACAGTACAGTTACATTCATTATTGGGATCTTGTACCTTTACATGACAGGTCTTGGTTCTCATTTTTTTCCCCTTGTCCCTGCCCTCCCTTCACCCCCTCCTCCTCTCCCCATTTAGCCAGTAAATTCTGACTCTAAGGCCTTTATCACTGGATGAAATGAAAATTTTGAAAAGTGTAAAAGTGTAGGCAAATATAAGAGGATTTTCATAATAAAATAATTTGGATATTCCATCCTCCTATTTTGTAAAGAAGTACCCCCTTTCCTTTTTTTGCCTTTCTGGTCCTTTAAAATTTAAATTGTTTTCCCGCTGCTTAGATTTATGGCACAGTATGCCCTTTTCGCCAACAAACTCATTGAGTTGAACAAAATCTTGCCTTGTCTTTATAGCCTTTCTTTCTGTTTGTTGTAGTGGACTTTCTGGCAGAGAAGAGGCTTGTAAAACTATCAAAAAATAATAATGTAAAAAAAATACTGATAATGTAGCATGAAACTGGCTTTTAACTGCTTAACAGTGAATTTCTGAAAATATGCTAAAATAGTAAAGAGATTGATCTCTTCCAGTTTCTATGTTTTATGATTTTTTTTTCTCTCAGCACACTGACAGGTGTTAACCAATGACTTCTCTGTTTAGAATAAAAGTGATAGATTAAATTAATTCTTCCAGAATATTCCCTTCCCCAAAAGAGAAAATACAAAGAATATACATACAGTTGAGTTATAAATTTGCATTAACAGCATATTAGAAAAAAATATTTTCCCTGTGCTCACAATTCTGAGAAACCTAAGTATTAAAGATTACTTAATTATACATTTCTTTTCTGATCACTTTAAGAACAAAAGTCTAATTCATTTTTATTATGAAATCAAAGAAGAAGCCATTGCACTGGTGAGCAGACCAAGTTATTGAATCTCTTTTTGCTTTGAACTTGGCTGAGTATTTTTTCCTAGGGTTATGTAACAGAAAACAATAATACTTGTGTGAATTCTCATTAATAGACAAATAGGTGGAATTGGAAAATGCTGTAATACAGCAAATAGAAATGTTTTTGAAAGTATAAACTTGAAAGCATCACTGGGAAATTAAACCTTGATCCTATAGTGTTTTTTTGGGGGGGGGGTTTGGAAAAAGCATCTACTTTATAAGATGAATTGATAAAAGGATCATTAATTTCTTAAATGACAATGGTGGATTAAGAAAGATTATTATATTTACCATATAAAAATGTCACATTCATGATCATAATTTTTATGGCCTCCAACTTCTAGGGCCTTCCTGGAGCAATAAAACAGAGAAAGCTTTCTTCAGAGGTAGAGATAGTCGGGAAGAGAGGCTGCAGTTGGTACAGCTGTCAAAAGAAAACCCACAGCTATTAGATGCAGGAATTACAGGGTATTTCTTTTTCCAAGAGAAAGAAAAGGAACTTGGAAAAGCCAAGTTGATGGGCTTTTTTGATTTCTTTAAGGTATGTATTTGAGCCTTCCTCTATGGTTGCAAACTGTAATTGTGTATCACAAGTGTACCACAGAGATGGATTTAGCCAGATCTCTTCTGTTTGAACTGACAGACACCATCATACTTTCTTATCAGACCCAGGGAATTATACAAAACCTTGTGGCTTCTTTTGTTGTTATTAACTTTGTCCATCATTTACCTCAGAACTTCTATATATTTAATGGTCCTAATATAGTAAAAGGGTTAACATGGTGTATTTGTTTCTCCTTTTTTAAATATTTGTTTAATAAACTAGGAATATAAATTTCTTTCATAAAACAAAAACAAAATAAATAAATGTCTTTCATATGCACTTGTGTAGCGTGCCCGAGGCCCTGGGTTTAATCCAAGCTTTACTAGTCAGTGAGTGAGTCAGTCAACCAGTACCAGATCTAGAAATACATTCTGTTTATCTCAGGCTGTTATAATGAAAAGAACCGGAGATTGGGACTCACAGTAGAAGTTTATAAATTTCTCTGAACACTAGTTTCTCACTTATAAAAAAATGACTGCTTCACATTTTTAAACCTGGATGAGGTTTAATGTCTATGAAAAGTGCTTTTGAAATGGAAATCAAAGCGCTTACTTCTGCAGTTTTCTGTTTCCTCAGCTCTAAAACTGAAATAGAGATGCTTTCCTGTTTCATGGGTCAAGTATAAGGAACAAATGAAATAGTGTATGAATGGAAGTGTAAATTATTAATATTCAGTTTAATAAATATAGAACTTTTGGAAATAGTCTTAAGAGCTAGTTACAGAAATCTAGATTCCCCATTACATAGATATAATTGAAATAGGTATTCATTTCTTTTCTTTTTTTTTTTGTACCGGGGATTGAACTCAGGACCTTGTATCTGTGAGGCACGTGGCACTACCACTGAGCTAAATTCCTGGCCTGGTGTTTATTTCTGTTTACTAAAATTATCATCTTTAAATGAATTATATTTCTTAAAATTGATCTGTTATAGGCTGCTTAGAATTTTAATACCAAGAGAAAAGTCAGTTACAAAATAAAACTTTTAAATACAAAATTAGAGAAATGGAAAACAATTCCTCTATATTTAATAGTATGAAGTTAATGAGAAGCAGAAGTGAAACAAATGATTGTGGAAAGTTTTTTAGTGTGCCTATGTTTTCTGTTTTTAATCTTTCAGTACAAGTACCAGGTGAATGTGGATGGGACTGTGGCTGCATATAGGTTTCCGTATCTCATGCTGGGGGACAGCCTGGTTCTGAAACAGGATTCTCCATATTATGAACATTTCTACATGACGCTAAGGCCCTGGAAACACTATGTTCCAGTTAGAAGAAATATTAGTGACTTAATAGAGAAAGTTAAATGGGCCAAAGTAAGTTCCTTGCAGTTTTTGTTTCTTTAAGCAATAATAGATTTTTTTTTTTTCTTTGTAGTGGGGATCGAACTCAAGATCTTGCACTTACAAGGCAGGCATGGTGCCACTGAGCTGCATCCCTAGCTCCTCTTTAGGCAGTAATAGATTTGTCAGTATTGGTGACCTGAATTTTGTCAAAACACAATTTAATTTAGCATAATGGAACAAAAGAAATGTCAAAACATTTTCTGGAATTTTTGTTCTTTTGAAATACCTAAAGAATCAACATCAGAATTATTTTGTATGCCCTCTGTCAACATTTTTTGACTTTTGAATTTTAAGTCCACTCTTACATAGAATACAGATTTTTCTAGATGAATCACTGTTTGTGCTTACGTGTACAAAATAAGAACTCGCAAACTGCAAATCACATATTGAAAAGGCCAGTTAGAGGACATCATGGAGAAGAAAATTTTTAAGGGAATTATGGTAGTCTTGTTTTCCTCACATAGATGAAAGGCACAGGTTCTTTTTTGTTTTTTTGTTATGTTTTGGTTTTTTCTTGGTACCGGGGATTGAACTTGGGTCCTTGCACTTGCAAGGCAGGCCACCGAACCGCTGAGCTAAATCCCTGGCGAGAGGCACAGGTTCTTAACAAATGCATCCTTCACAACTTCTCAAGAATTAAGTGTTTCCCATAAAATAGGAATTCCTTTCTTTTATTTTTTTTTGGACATGGGGTCTCGCTACGTAGTTGAGACTGACCTGGAATTCACTATGTAGCCCAGGCTGGTTTTGAACTCATAGTGATCCTCCTGCCTCAGCCTCCCGATTGCTAGGATTACAGGCATGTGCCACCATGCTCGGCATAGGAATTCCTTTTTTTTTTTTTTTCAGCTTTCAGTTTATTGGTACATTTTAGGGATACAGTACAGTTACATTCATTGTTGGGATCTTGTACCTCTACATGACAAGTCTTGATTCTCATTTTTTCCCCTTACCTCTGAATACCTTCACCCCCTCCTCCCCTCCCCATCTACAAACACTTTATTTTCATCTTTTCATTCTCTCACATTTTTTTCTTTTCCCTTTTTACTCTTCCCCTACCCATCCCACCTTCCCTACACCTTTAGCTCCTTTCTTCCCATTTCTAAATGTCAGTAATCTTATTAGCATCTTATGCATTGTTGCAGATTATTCACACCAGGGAAACTATTCGGTATTTACACATGTGTGACTTATTTATTTCACTTAGGAGTATATCTTCAATATGTATCCATTTTCCTATGAATGAATCTATTTTCTCATTCTTTATGGCTGAGTAATATTCCATTTTATAGAAAAACCACATCTTCTTTATCCAGTTTCCAACGGATGGGCAAATAGGCTGTTTCCAAGATTTAGCTATTACAAACTGTGCCGCTATAAACATGGGTGCACATACTTCTCTGTGATATGATTCTTTTAGTTCTCTTGGAAAGATACCCAGCAGAGGGATGGCTGGGTCAAATGGAACCTCCAGTCCAAGCTCTTTGAGGTATCTCCATATTGATTTCCATAGTGGTTGCACTAGTCTGCACTCCCACCAACAATGGAGGAGGGTTCCTTTCTCCCCACAACCCCGCCAACATTTGTTATTGTGTGATTTCTTGATAGCAGCCATTCTTTGTGGGGTGAGGTGGAATCTCAGTGTTGTTTTCATCTGCATCTCTCGAATGACCAGTGATGTGGAACATTTTTTCATATATTTTCTTGCTGCTTTTACTTCTTTGTATGAGAAATGTCTGTTCATTTCGGATGCCCATTTTTGGATCGGGTCTTTATATTTGGGGGGACTGATTGTTTTGAGTTCTTTATATATCCTTGATAATAGTCCTTTGTCTGAGGTACAGCTGGTAAAAATTTTTTCCCACATTGTAGATTGTCTCTTAGTTCTGCTAATGGTTTCTTTTGAAGTACAGAAGCTTTTTAGTAAGATGAGATCCCAGTTGTTGATTCTTTCTGCTAGTTCCCGTGCTACTGAGGATTTGTTCATAAAGTCTTTTCCTATACCAATGTCTTCCAGAGTTCTGCCTAACTTACTTTCCAGCAAGTTTAATGTTTCTGTTTTAATATTTAGATCTTTAATCCATTTGGATTTTAATTTAGTGCATGGCGAAAGATAAGGGTCTAATTTTAATCTGTGACAGGTTGATATCCAGTTTTTCCAACACCATTTATTAAAGAGGCTATCTTTCCTCCACTGAGGATGGTGAGCTCCTTTGTCGAAGATGAGGTAGCTGAGTACATCTGCATTTGTTTTTGTGTCTTCCAGTCTGTTCCATTGATCCTCAGGCCTATTTCTTTGCCAGTACCATGCTGATTTTATCACAGTGGCTTTGTAGTATAGTTTCAAATTGGGAATTGTTACACCTGGTGCCATGTGACTGTTGCCTATAATGGCTTTTGCTATTCTAGGTCTCTTGTGGTTCCAAATGAATTTTTGGATTCTTTTTTCTAGTTCTGTGAAATATAGTGTTGGAATTTCAATTGGCATTGCATTGAATGTATATAGCAGTTTCGGTAGTATGGCCATTTTCACTATGTTGATTCTTCCTACCCAGGAGCAGGGGATATCTTTCCATTTTTTTATATCCTCTTCGATTTCTTTTTTCAGAGTGCTGTAGTTTTCAGTGTAGAGATCTTTTGTTTCTTTTGTTAGATTGATTCCTAGATACTTCATTTTTTTGGATGCTATTGTAAAAGGAATTTTTTCCCTTATTTCTCTTTCTGTCTGTCTGTTATTTGTGTATAGAAAGGCTATTGATTTTTGGGTATTCACCTTGTATCCAGATACTTTACTGAATCTGTCAATTAAGTCTAGAAGTTTTTTGGTGGAGTTTTTTGGATCTTCAATGTAGAGTATCATATCATCAGCAAATAATGATAGTTTAACTTCTTCCTTTCCTATCTTTATTGCTTTAATTTCTTTCTCTTGTCTAATTGCTGTGGCTAATGTTTCCAGAACTATATTGAAGAGAAGTGGCGATAGTGGGCATCCTTGTCTTGTTCCTGATTTTAACATGAAGGTTTTCAGTTTTTGGCCATTCAATATGATGTTGGCTGATGGTTTTTCATAAATAGCCTTTATTAAATTGAGGTATAGACCATCTATTCCAATTTTTTGCAGGGTTTTTATCATGAATGGGTGTTGAATTTTATCAAATGCTTTTTCTGCATCTATTGAGAGGATCATATGGTTTTTGTCCTTGACTTTGTTAATATAATGTATTACATTCACTGACTTTCGTATGTTGAACCACCCTTGCATCTCTGGAATAAATCCGACTTGGTCATGATGGATGATCTTCTTAATAATCCTCTGTATTCTGTTTGCTAGTATCTTATTAAGGATTTTTGCATCTATATTCATTAAGGAGATTGGTCTGTAGTTCTCCTTTTTGGTTGTATCTTTCTCTGGTTTGGGAATCAGAGTGATACTTGCTTCCAGGAATGAATTTGGAAGTATAGCTTCTCTTTCAATTTCATTGAAAAGTTTGAAGAGTAATGGTAGTAGTTCTTCTCTAAATGTCTTGTAAAATTCAGCAGTGAATCCATCAGGGCCTGGGCTTTTCTTTGTTGGTAAGTTTTTAATTACATTTTCAATTTCACTGATTGTGATTGGGGTGTTTAAAATGTTTTTATCTTCTTCGTTCAACTTTGGTAATTCATAAGTATCTAGAAATCTGTCCATTTCTTCTGTGTTTTCCATTTTATTAGAGTACAGGTTCTCAAAGTAGGTGTTCATGATCCTCTGGATTTCTTTTGGATCTGTTGTGACTTCGCCTTTTTCATTCCTGATTGCATGGATCTGAGCCTTTTCTTTCCTTTTCTTGATAAGATTAGCTAAGGGTTTGTCGATTTTATTTATTTTTTCAAAAAACCAGCTCTTTGTTTCATTTATTTTTTGTATCATTTTCTTAGTTTCAATTGCATTGATTTCTGCTAGGATCTTTATAATAGGAATTCCTTTTTTAAAAGGAACAGCATTTAAAAGCTTTTGTTGTTTTATATAAAACTATAAAAATTTACTGCTGTATTATAAGACTTTATTCTGTTTCTGAGAATCTGAGAAGCAGTATTTGGTTTTGGAAATACCTGAGTAGAATCACTTTTGTGACCCAAGTAAATGGCTTTTCCTATTGGCAGTATGGTAAAAAATGAAGTAGTTGCTGAAAGTGTGATTAGGAAAAACCTGTACGTACTAATGAGTAACTTTTTTTATTAAGATGACAGTAGTCTTCCATAGCTACCACTCTACAACAAAACTTTTTGGCTCTGACTATATATTTAAATGAAGCTTTTAAAAGAAACTCTAACATGAAAACTGATTCATTCTACCCTCAAGCAAGAGGGCTAGCCCAAGGTGGACAGAAAATGGACTCCACACTCTCTGCATGAGTAACTAGGAATGCATCAGTGTAGTCACAATGAGGCCACACGTGCATTGCTGCTCTGTGGAACTGGAGTGAGACGTACATGATCATTTTCCTTCAGCAGCCATGTCTAGGAAAATACTCTGTTTCCATTGCCTCATTATTAAGTTATGTTTGCAGTATGTTCCATCTCTGCTATGATATTCACACTCAACCCCACACCCGTCCTAGCTCACACTTGCCCCTAGCTTGCTTTGTGGGCTACAGAAGTAATTTTCATTCATTATTTTAAACCCTTCAGGAAAATGATGAAGAAGCCAAGAAGATTGCAAAAGAAGGACAGTTGACTGCGAGGGACCTGCTGCAACCACACAGGCTTTACTGCTACTATTACAGAGTCCTACAGGTCAGTTCCACATATCCGTCCTGCTGCACCTGGGGTCCTCAGAGTACGTGAATGGGCCAAGCACCCTGTCCATTGCTTCCTAAATGAGTCAGCCTGTAACTCCATCAGCCAAGGTCCCAGCTTGTGGGAAGAAAACGAGTGCTTAGTCCCTCTGTGGCCTTCACATTTTAATCTCCAGTCACTATTAGGAAAAGCAACTTTGGACACTGTACAAATACAGATGAATGAGTCTTCCCATCTTCCCAGTGTTCTCTGTTTTTATATGTTCTATTGAACTCCTAGTTTAGGTGTTCTTAATTCTCAGAAAACTCCTCATCTAGAAAACAAGAAGGTTGGGCTAGAGGTCTCTGTTTCTGCTCAAATTGTTACCTCATTGCTCTCCTTTCTAAAGATTCATGCCTTTGGTATCATGGTACAAGACAGGAAGCAAGTATTTATTTGTGTGTTTTTGTTTTTGTTTTTTGAGACAGGGTCTCACTATGTAGTGAGACTGACCTGGAACTCACTATGTAGCCCAGGCTGGTCTCGAACTCATAGTGATCCTCCTGCCTCAGCCTCCCGAGTGCTGGGATTACAGATGTGCGCCACCATGCCCAGCTGAGGAAGCAAGTATTTAGATTATACAAGCAAGTGAAAACTATAATAGTCCTGAATCCTGATGTTCAAATATATATTAGAAATTATAGTTTATTCCTTTGAGTAACTACCTCATGCTTCTTCAGTAAAATATTTCCAGAAAGACAAAAAATAAGAAATTATGTTTGCATTTTTAACCTAAAATTATTTTCCTATGGGCAGAATAAAAGTAAATTTCCTTAGATGCCTGTGTACCCTGTCCTCTCAGAATGACAGTGGTAGGTTATGCCCCTTACCTGAAGTGACTCTTCTTTTCCTTAAATGAGTTCTGTCTTCTCTCTTGACCCAGGTTTAATTTTAATAGTAGGCATTTTTTTCCCTAAAATATTAATTAGGCTCGCCTACTCATGTCACCATTTTGTTGGGTTTGACCTGGTTTGGGGAATGTCTAGTTAATTTGGACACAGAACCACTGAAATTAAATATCCAACTGATAGGAATATTTCAGTCAGCAGCTAGAGAAGAAAATTTTACAGGCCTGTCACCATTTATTAAATAGATGTGACTAGCCAGACGTGGCGGCGCATACCTATAATCCCTGCACTCGGGAGGCTGAGGCAGGAGGATCGCTGTGAGTTCGAGACCAGCCTGGGCTACATAGTGAGTTCCAGGTCAGTCAGCCACATAGTGAGACCCTGTCTCAAAACACCCCCCCCACCAAAATAAATCAATCAATAAATAGATGGGACTAGTCTGTAAGGGAAGGGTGTGTGTAGCTACCAACTTTAGCTTGAAATGCTTGTCATCTTTGTTGCTGATCTCAGTACTCATTGTGGTTTGGCATGGAGTCTCTGGTAGGGTCTTCCTGGTTACTCCTAAAATTGTGGATTTGAGTTCCTTGCTAGACTGTGAAATACTACACCTGTCACTAGAGGAGTAACTGTAGTAGCTACAGTTATCTATGCCTATATGAAGTAAAGTTAAAATAAAATAGATGTTTGGTTTTGGTCTGAAATGTTGGGGGCAGGGGCAGGTGATGGTATCAATAGAGATTAAGTGTGGACTAATCTTGCACTTGCTTTGAAACACACATTTCAGCAATATGCCAAGCGCCAGTCCAACCAACCTGAGATACGTGATGGAATGGAACTTGTTCCTCACCCAGATGACAACATATCCATTTGCCAGTGCCATAGGAAAAGGCCTTTAAAGGAAGAGCTTTAATGCAGCCCATTCTTACCCAGCTACATCTTTGAAGGAAGACCACAGATGCTAAGCTGTGAAGTACAGAAGACTTTACCCAGTGGACCAGTTCTCTTAGTGGCTTTATATAATGTGGCTGGATAAGGCAGTATTTCAGCAACTATTACTAGATATATTTGGATATTAATTTTTGGAGGGGGGAACCAGAGAACGAATGCAGGACTTTGTGCTTGCAAGGCAGGCATGGCACCACTGAGCTAAATCCCTGGCCCTGGATATTAATTTCTTTTAAGTAAAAACTGCTATTATCAGCATAGAATTTTCTCTAAAAAGAATATTTGCAGATCAGCAGATAGAGAGGCTTGCGAAAATATGAATCACTCTACTGACTTATTCATTGGTTTATTTCTATGCCTGGTTTGCTTTATCTCTTCTTCCAGTAATGCAGAGAAAAAGTTTTGTTTTGTTTCCTCCCTATGCATAACTTCTCTTGCAAGCTGCTTTTGGTGTTCAATAATAGCAGCTTCCTTTTGGAAAGTCTGATAAAGAATAGTTAAGGAACAAGAGCGTGACTCTTGTTAAATGCACTGCGGAGGGCCAGGGATTTAGCACAGTGGTGCTGCCACATGCCTTGCAAGCGCAGGGTCTGGAGTTCTATCTCTGGAATGAAAAAAAAAAAAAAACCAAGGAGACTAAATAGGCACTACTTCTGTAAACTACTGCTCTTATTATTAGCTAGTTTTTGAGACAAAAATTAAGGAGAGCTAGGTGTGGTGATGCATACCTGTAATCCCAGAACTAAAGAAGCTGAGGCAGGAGATCACTGTGAGTTTGAGGCCAGCTTGGGCTCCATAGTTGTGGGGGACCAGCTCCCACTAGTCAAACAGTACCTGAAGGAGAGAGTGAGGATTGAAAAAGAAAGACACTCTAGGCAGAGTGGAGACAAAAGACTGTCTGCTTTATGTGAGGCAAACCTGGTTATTTATACACACATTATCCACAAAATCTACACAAGAAACATCTGCAGAAAGACACCACAAGAGAATGATTAGACACCATAACATTTTACAATTCCTGCAGATCAAAAGGCATTCACATGCACTTTGGGCCTGAATGCTCTCTTTATCTGGTCACAATGGTTTCTGTTGACATCATGTTGATAGATTAACTCCTTCTTCTTAACCACTTCTAGTTTCCCACATACTATTGTTAGGTGAAAGTTTCAGTTTCCCCACATTTCCTCCTTTTTTATTTTAATTAAAAGAAAACAGAACTTCATTCTGTTTCCACAGATGGACTGTGCCTGTCTTAGGCGAGGACCATCAGATGAAATGGACCATCAGATGAAATTTCTTTACCCGTCATCAAGTAATGGGATATTCCTCTTTCCCATACTCTGTCTTAGGTTGAATATTTCTCTATGGTCCTCTTACCCGTCTGACTACCAGCCTCTGTTTAATAAGGAGGATCTTTTGAATGAAGATGGAGACCATGAACTCGACTAGCCACAGTAGTGATGGAAGAAATGAAAACTCTGGTCAAAACAGAAATGACCACACACCAAACACAAATACCAATTCCAATTGCCAAGATGGGCCATAACAATTTATACCAATGATCAAAAGATGGAAAAACATTCTTAAGATGATCTAAGAAATTTTCAGCAATTTGAGCTGCATCATACTTTAAAGAAGGGGCATTTTGTAAATTTAAAATTTCTTGATGTAATTGAACAAGGTCAAGAGAAGTGTTATAATCATTGCATATTCCCTGCAAATGCTTTTTTTATCTAAGACCAATCATATTGCATTGTATTATAAGATTTGAGTATCACAAATCCATTTATACATAGCATGACAAGAATGACAAGATTGAATCTGTAAACTCTGAATTTCTTCTCCCATAATATCCACTATTTTATAAAGAGCATTTAATTTCTATTCTAATCTCTTATCTACATCCTATTGGGTAACAAAAGTATGGGTAACATTTTGAGTGAGGGAATTAACAAACTGAGCTTCTTTTACTTCTTGGGTTAATGCCACAACAGCCATAGTTGCTGAGGCTATAATAGTGACAAGAGCTATGACTCCAACAATAACCCATTCAATAAATCTTTTGTGTCTAGCTAAAGCCTCACTAATCATCTCAAGCACCTGCAATCCTTGTTCTTCATACCAGGTCTCATTAATGGATACAGGAATCATAACAAAAGGAGGTTGCCTTAAAACCATAAGAGACAATTATTATCAGATACATTAGTGATACAATTACATAAAATACAATTAGAACAACTAACATTATATTCCTTATCATTTTCATATATAATCTGTATATTTCCTATTAAAAGAACATATGGAGCATCAACACAGGACAAGACAGCTTTCTTTTATCCTTTGGCTAGCGATAACACAGTACTTATGGTATTTCGCGTGTTAGAGGCCCCTTTGCCAAAAACAACAGGTTAGTGACTTTGATATCTGGCAGCAAGTTTTCAAATGTTCGTCTGAGGAAAACTTGTATCTGTCCACCAAAGTCCAGCAGAAAGGCTAAGACCAGCAGATGAACTCTCTGAGGTAGTGTTGGTTAAAGACCAATCAAGGAATGTCCTTTTTGTCCCAGAAAAATTTCTCACCGTAGCAGTCCCATTTTCTTTATAACACCTTTTCCAAAATATAGTAACATTACTTTTTCGATTATCTTTCTGACAGGGATAAAGCAACTGATGTGGTGCTTCTCTGGATTTACTGCCAAGAGAAGGATATAATAAGGCAACATATTGATTTTTTGAATGAAATCATTTTTGTGCTAGGGAGAGGCATCCAGGAATAGGTGACTTGACCAATGAGAGACATATAGGTACACCTTGTCCATATCCAATGTAAGTATAATCTCAGCCTTATTTTTTAAAATGCCAAGAAATGGGTGACCAAGCATATTTGTATCATTTATCAGTACCGGCACTTCACGTGCATCCCATGAGACAGGATGTGCAAGGGGTGGATCTGGCATATAAGCCAAATATTCTTGAGGATCAGCATCACATCCTGGAGGAATTGACATCAGCAGGAGTATCCACATGACGAACCAGCCTTTCTAGCAGCCATCGAGCTCCATCATGATCCTGTGAAAAAACACAAATGTCCTCGGCCCCATATTGAAACGGGGCTGGGTCCATACCATTGGCCAGTTAAAGGATCTCTCCATTTTACCAAGGCATATGGAGAGCCTTGTGGATGACAAAATCTTTCAGCTGCAGAATGACCATCCTTATCCACTTGTAAAAAATTTAAATTATATAGAGCATGATAAAGATAATTCTTAGGAGACATAGGGTATAATTCCTCCTTTTTAATTTTTAAAAATTGAACTTTAAGGGTATTATGGGCACGTTCAACAATACCTTGACCTTGGGGATTATAAGGGATACCAGTAACATGTTTAATATGCATCTGTTGACAAAAATTAGAAAAGGCTTTACTAGTATAGCCAGAACCATTATGTTTTAATCTTTGAAGGCACTCTGAGAACAGAAAAACAAAAAAGACAATGTGTAATAACATGCTTTGTAGCTTCCCAGTTTGAGCAGAGGCCAAAATAAAACCAGAAAATATCAATAACAACATGAATATATTTCAGTTTTCCAAATTCCATAATATGGGTGACATCCATCTGCCATAATTGATTAGGATGCAAACCTCGAGGATTAACACCATAATGTGGTACAGAAAAAAATTGAGGGCAGGTGGAACATTGTTTAACAATTTGTCAGGCAGCTTCTTGAGGAATCTGAAATTGATATCTAAGAGTATGACTATTCTGGTGATGGAGTTGATGGGATTGACAAGCTAAATCAATTTTTGAAAATGCAATAAATTTTGTGGAAACATCAGCAAGATGATTTCCCAAAGACAATGGACCAGGTAAAACAGTATGAGCTCAAATATGTCCAATAAAACAAGGAAAAGAATGAGCATGAATACAATTTTGTACTTGAATAAAAAGCTGTTGAATCTCTAAATTACTGGTATTAATACAGGCCACAGTTTCTAAAAAAAGAAGGGCTTTGACCAAATATTGACTATCAGTATATAAATTAAAAGAAACATGGGCAAATTCTTGAAACACAAAAAGAATGGCACACAGTTCAACTACTTGTGCCAAAGCTGCAGGTGTTGAAAAAACCTTTTCATGGCCATCAATAATGTAAACTGCTTTTCCATTAGAGGATCCATCAGTAAAAATAACAATTACATCAGGAATAGATTTAGATGAAATAATTTTTGGAAAAATAAAAGATTGAAGATTTGCAAATTGTATCAATTTATTAGGTGGATAATGAAATTTAATTTGACCTGAAAAATATGCAAATACAATAGCCCAAGAATCACAGTTCTGAAACAAACAATCTAATTGTTTTCCTATAAAGGGAATTACAATATTGGAAGGTTCCAAACCAAAATATTTCTGAGCATTACATTGGATTGATTGAACAAGTTGGGCAACAGCTTCATTCCCTGTAAAGCCGCAGCCAAGGCAAGACCCTGGGTGTAAGAGGGGCCAATATCAGCACACAAATAAACATAATCAGATAAATCAGCTTTCTTTCTAAAAGGATGAAGGGCAGCTTGGCAGGCAAAATTAGCATTTTCATAGGCCAATTGTTTTACTAAAACTATACCAGCTTCAGATTCTCCTATGACTCTGCTGGCAGTTTGTAACAAGCGATCTATAAAATTTTGAAAAGGCTCATCAGGTCCCTGTCTAATTTTAGAAAGAGCTTCTGAGGCTCGTCCAGATGAAGGAAGTTTTTTCCAAGCATTTTTAGCAGCAGTATTAATCCGAGCATACACACCTGGGGGAAAACCTAATTGCAGAGTAACCTCAGCATAAGGTCCCTCCCCTGCTAGCATCTCATAAGTTGCATTAAATTCTCCTTGCTGTCTATTAAGATCTGCTATTCTCTGGCATTGTTCTGTATATTCAGATTTCCATAACAAATAATCACCCCCAGAAAGACAAGCTTTAGCAATTTGTTTCCAGTCAAATGGAGGGAGAGCATCAGTGGACAAAGAATCTGTCAAGGCTTGAGTGAAAGGAGCAATAGAGCCATACTGAGCACATGCCATTTTTAATTCTTTTAATTGTTTAAAAGGAACTGGATTATGAGTTCGTACCCTATTCCCTTGCCCATCCATTCCCTCAAAAACAGGAAACAAATGAGGAAAATCAGACAAATCCTCCCCATTGATAGAAGCTTGTTTAAGGCTCTGCTGTAATGGGGAAAGAAAAGGCTGGGAATTTACACGAAGGGGACGCCAACCATTACAAGATTTTGGTTGAAAAAGTCCCTGAAGGTCAGATGGCTCCATCCCAGGCGAAGCAGCAAATTCTAACTTTTCTGGAGCAGGCTTAGCTTGAGTTTTATTTTTACCGTGCTCCACAGATTCTTCAGTCATAGCAACAAATGGATTCCAAGAATGTCTAGGATATTCTTGAATTATTTCCGCTAAAGTTTGTTTTTTAAATTTTTCTCCTAATTTCTCAATATCACAGGTAACTGAAGGAGTTATACCTTCCTCCTTTTCTGGTAATTTTTTAGGTTTTTTAAAATTTTCTTCCTCTACTGTAAGCATAGATTTTGGGTTTAAAGTTTCTCTAATAAGTGACCAGAAACTGGATATCTCAGCGGGAACCACCTTTTTCCCTTCTCTTAAATAATATTCTTTTAAACAGCGACCAACTCTATCCCATACTTCCATATTTATGGATCCTTCTTCAGGGAACCATGAACCCCAACTTTTTACCCTTTCAATTCACACATTACCCACATAGTCCATTAGCCATTTTTAACACTGAAATTTTTGTTTAAAAATCTGAATTTTAAAAGAAGAGAGGAGTGTAAGGATACACAGGCAAAGATAAGAATTGTATTTGTCTAAATAAACT